ATTTGAGCTTATTGCCTTCTGCAATTCTGACTGGGGTTCTTGCCCTGATTCTAGGCATTTCATTAGTGATTTTTTTATCTGTATCGGTGGCTGCCTTATTTATTGGAAATCAAAGAAACAACCCTATGTTTCTTTGTCTTCTACGGAGGCTGAGTATCGATCCATATGTCGCGTGATTGCTGAGCTTACTTGGCTTGTCCATTTGCTTGACGGTTTCTCTATTTCTCCTTAGTTGCTAGTTTGTCTTCACTCTAACAGTCAGCCAGTCATCTATATCACCAAGGACTCCATCTTTCATGAGTGCATCAAACATGTGGAGTTCGATTGCCACTTCGTGAGACAACAATTCCAGGCCGGTCTTATCTCCTTGTTTTTTGTTCCTTCTCACTCTCGTTGGCCGATCTCTTCACGAAGCCCCTTTCTGGGCCTCTTCATTGGGATTTACTGGGCAAGTTGGGCATTCTTTCTCCCCCTCCCAACTTGAGGGGGGTGGGTGTTGGAGACATTACATCTCCAAATTTTAATCACTCAAACTCCAAAGTGTTGGATCTATGTTGAAGATGACTAGGTTTTACTTCTAATGGTTTTGAGATACAGAGTTGGAGGCTTCTTATTTAGCTCTCTCTAGGTTTAACCTTTTAATTGGGGCTATTAGTCTCTTAAATGCACCCTAATTCCTTGTTGGCATGAATTTTCTAGACTTAGTCTCTCTTTCTCAAGAAGGGCCTGAGTAAAAAAGGCACAAATAAGTGTTTGCAACCACAAATTCAACATTTAAAGCATAAATCAAGCCAAATATCATTCACCCATAAACATTTAAGCCCTAAAATTAAAGACACATTAAATACCCACATTAGAGTTGAGCCACAACCCTAGTTAATGGGTTTAGCTATTCATAATCAAAGAAGAAATCAAAGATGAAGATGAAATATAAGCCATAAAAAGTAATTACTAGATTAAAATCTAAGATTAATTACTAAAGATGTTCTAAATTTACTCAAAAAGGTAAAAGGAGGCGGTTCACGTGCTCTACAAAACAACAGATGACCTAAAAATCTGAAAAAGAACTATTTATACACAGCTAAAATTTTTTGAAAAAATGCCCCTACGGAGGTTCCGCTACCAGCGGAAAATGGACCGCTGCAGCGCTATGACTACCGCGGCCGCGCAAAAGCAAGCACGGACCACGGTCTTCAATTTTTAGCTTCACTTTTGGTTCTCTGATTCTCGCTTCTGCTGAGGGCGATAACTTGACTGCTGCCGCGTAAAAGCCACCACTGCCGCGCAATTTCACCGCGGGCGGCGGTAACTTGTTAAGACCAAATTACAGCTTTCTTAACCTTGCCACCGCTGAGAGAGAAATTAAAACCGCCTCAGGGTGGACCCTTCGCGTCCGCATTTGTTTCTTCGTTGTCAGCGCTCCTTTGACGCAGCTTTTGAACTTGTGCAGGTTTCACTCTTTTTTGAGCTGGTTATGACTTCCTTGTCTCTTTTTGAGCAAACACTGAAACAAGCACAATAAGTTAGCTTTCGAGAATACTTGTACACACTTTTAATCCAAAACCTAAGCAAAAAGGCGTATAAAATAGGCTAGAATCCCTAGTTATCATTGCACATTTTAATCAATATTGGGATGATGGAAAGCTTGTGAATGTTAATAAAGCAAAAGCAAGGTAAGTTGTTTAAAACTTACTCTTCTTGAGACTTTCTCTAAAAGCATGTTTTGAGTTTGTACTTAAGTTGTTTGCAAATGTGCTTTTGTGCTTGTGGTGACAAACAAGTACGGATATCTCCATCTATTAAAGTATTATGTTGCATATATAGTGTCATGTTGTATTATAAAATTTATTTTAAATCTTGTTGGCAGAATGACACTCAAGGTAAATGTTATAAGTTTTTATCAAAACTTATGTATTGACAAGAGTATACATATTTAAGTGCAAAAGAATAGTTTTTATGGAAAACATTTTTTTTAAAATTGACGAACAGAATAGCACTTGTGGTATTTTTTAAAGATTGATGGTAAATTGCTAAAGGCTTTAGCATGAAAAATGTGGTTTATTTAAATTTTGTTCAAATGATTTAGATTTTTCTATAAATTATATGAGTTGATAAAAATAGATCCTTTGAATCTACTATGCTATGAATCTATTTTTGAAGTATCAAATATTTTGGGAGTTACTCGTGTTCACCGAGATTGACTTCGGATATATTGTGTTCGTTGTCATGAAACTATATGTGTCGGTGTAGGCGTAGATGGCCACTTTGTGGTATAGACTATGACAGAGTGCTCTCACTCGAGAGAGTATTATTTTGTGCTATTATTAGCATGGCTGAGTCGATTCATACGGCACTACAATGAGACGACCTGAGCAAGTAGAGTATATGATACTTGTCGATATGTACATAACCTAGTTTACCTTCTTATATCGGTGATAGTGTAGTACTCCCATTGATGATTTTCTAATATTTAGGCCTAAGGAGCCAAAAGTGATTTCAATGACTTAAAGTAAATGTAATAATTTTGTATGATTTTATCCAAAATCTTGGATTGATGTAAATATGAGTTTATATTGTGGTTATATTTCACTTGGTTGTTATTTAAAATGACAAGGGTCATGAATTGATAAAATTTCTTATCGTTTTATATCAAATATTGATGCATTATTTTTTTTTTATAAAGTTTGTCCCAAGAACTTAAGTTAGAGAGAGTTTATGACACTTATTGCGTACCGCTGTGATGTACTCAGCCCTTAGGAGGGCCCTCCAGAGTCCCGCTTACTTTACATGTTTCAGGATAAGGTATGATACGTGGCATGCAGTCATGGCTAGGATGACTCCCTTCCTGAGGTATATGGTGAGGCACACCACCCCTATTTTCATGGTAGCTATCATGTTATTTTCTTAATTTATGATAGTCGGGTATTAGCCCAAGTGTTAATTCTATTCTTTGGTATAGAGGCTCCATAGATAATTGTGAAAGGTTATATTCGGGGCTGTACACGGCATACATGAAAATATATTTATTTTACTTAGTCTCATTGTTATTATCATGAAAGGCATCATGGGTGATTTTGAATTGGAAAATATTTTATCATTTAACTTGAAAATGAATATGATTTTCAAGGAGCTTCCACAATTAAATTGGTTTTCATGCATATAGTTTGGTTCGTTCAGGTCGGGTAGTGTGCCGGGTGCAGGTCACGTAGTTTTGGGTTGTGACATGGAGAGAGTATTAGCTTAACACCATTAGATTTATCTGGATTTTCGATAGATTTTTTTCAATAGATAAAGTTCTGTCAAAATTTTCGACAATAATAATTTTCATGTTTTTTTTTTATTTGGATCGATGGCCTGTAACAGATCCCATGTATCATATGCATCAATGCCAAGTCTAAATTTGGAGCCGATTACGCACAAAACGCAAAAAGGTTATACACACTCGTGTATATATATAACAAGTCATACTAATTTACTACAGTCATGTGATAATTTGAAGTGATAACGTACGCTATTAATCAAGTTAAATAATAAGTGATAAATGCATGTGTACCTAAAAAAATACACATCATATATTACATTTCACCAAGTTTTGGGAGTTGTACATATTGAGTTACAGATTTTATTTATGTAGTTACTGAAGTTTTGAGATTTTAAATTTTCATTCAATGATTCTGCACGTTGTTAGACTTACCTAGTATTAGAGACTAAGTGTTGTCACGACATCCTACGGAGGGAATTTGGGATGGTGACCTTATTTATATATAGTAGTAGAAATTATTTTCAAAGTTTGACCAATCACTGTGCATTACAGCAGTATCTATTGGGCTTTTGCAGTTGCAAACAATTCGATAATGTCTGCATGTCACTGTGCATCATTTAAGGACTTTTCCCATGTGACATGAATGATTCAAAGATGTGTGAATGCGACTCTTACGTTCCCCTACCCTACTTGCCTTCTTGGAAAATAAAAAGTCTTTGCAGAGTGGGAATTTGGATAAGACTAACTCAATTCACGTACTCTAATTAAATGTGCATGTTGCTCAACTGATTAAAAAGTTCTTAATGCTTATAATGTAATTCATCTGATCTAGGTATAGTAATAAAAATATACTCCTGGTCCAAAATAAGTAATTTTTTGGCTTTTTTTTGTGGTCCAAAATAAAAGTGATTTTTTGGCTTTTTTCTTGTGGTCCAAAATAAGTGATTTTTCCAGATTTCAAGAATGAATTAATTATTTTTTCCTACATTGTCTTTGGAGTAATTAATGTTGAAGTATGTGTTAGGAGTGTTATGTGAAGATGTAGTAAAGGTTAATATGGTCAATTTTATTGCTAATTAATGTTGAAAAGTAAATTTCTTAATATGTGCGAAAGCAACAAAAAAATCACTTATTTTGGACCGAAGGGAGTAGTGGTTAATTAATGTAGAATGTGAAACGTTTTCTTTTTGGGTTAGG